AATGCTCGACCCCATGTTGCGAAAGTGGTCAAGACATACTTGGAAACGTTGAAATGGGAAGTCCTACCCCACCCGCCGTATTCTCCAGACGTTGCTCCCTCTATCACTTGTTTCAATCAATGGCACACGGCCTGGCTGACCAGCACTTCCGGTCTTATGAAGAAGTAAAAAATTGGATCGATTCGTGGATAGCCTCAAAAGATGACTAGTTTTTTCGACGCGGGATTCGTACGCTACCCGAAAGATGGGAGAAAGTAGTGGCCAGCGATGGACAATACTTTGAATCATAAATGTATAACCAGTTTTTTACAATAAAGCCTCGAATTTCGGAAAAAAAAACGGCGGAAGCAAAGTTGTATACCTAATATATATATATATATGTACTTATTTAACTTTCGAGTTGGTATATGGAGTGTCTAAGCACTAGACATAATTTTTCGTAAATATTTCACTTTTAGATTAGCAACAGAGCTCATCGATTTAATATCTTCCTATTATTAATTACTTGACAGATTGAAGTAGTAACGGCTTATCGATATTAAATAGTAAATAAAAATATAAGAAAATCAGAGTCTTTTATTTCATGGAAAGGAAAAAAATAAAACACTTTGATTGGTTCATTTTCTTCTCATGTGTTAAACATTATGCAAGAATGCTCCTCGCTCAATCGTGCTCTGTGCTCCTCGCTTAACGATCTGCACCATTTTTCCAACAGTTTAAAAAAAAATTGAAAATGTTGTGACCTCAAGGCAAACAGGAATAAAATAACGTGTTATAATAATAACAATAGAAAAGTAAATGTTAGAATATAATTAATTGTTCCCTGGTGAAAATTTTTCTCAGAATTTTTCATATAATTTTTTAGAATTTCTGTATATAATTTTTCAGAATTTCTTTATAATTTTATAATTTTCTCACATTTTTTTATACGAATTGGAACATTTCTTAGAAAATCTACATTTTTTCTTAGAATTTTTCATATATGTTAATTATGAAATATCGAAATAAGATTTTTAAGATTTTTTGTAAGTATAATTTTTGATGAAATGTTACAAAATCTAAAAAATTTTAAAATATTTTTTAAAAATTATGGGATGAGAAATTTCAGAATATTTCAGAATTCATTTGTATGAAAAGTTCTGAGAGAAGATGTAAACTTTCCGAATATTTTTGAGTATTTCTGAAAAATATTCCAATTCGTATCAAAATTGAGAAAAATTTTCACCAGGATTAATACACCAAAATCTAATCGTAATCGCATTACATGTTTTGGCTGCAAGTTTGACCCCTCTTCAGATGTATAGAATACAATTATTTTATTTTGTGACTTATGGATATTCTTTGAGTGTCGCTGACGACATTTGCATGGATATTTATCATCGACATTTGGATTGTGCACAATGAAAAAAGTTTTTTTAATCGGGTTTTCAACCAAAAAAATTAGCGAGTAATTTTTGTTTCCTCTGATTCAAGTATTTCATTCATCACGCCTTTCACATCGATATAATATTATGTAACTTTTTGCGGTTGTGCTTCGTCTTACACATTGTATATTTCTTATAATGTATTTCTATTGTGTTCTATACATCTGAAGAGGGAACTTGCAGCCGAAACATATAACATGTGATTATGATTTTGATATATTAATAGTTAATTATATTCTAACATTTGCTTTTCTATTTTTATTGTTATAACACATTATTTTATTATTGAACTCCTTTGCCTTGAGGTTACACATATTTACTATTTTAATTGAGGGTCTTGTTTTTTCTTATTTTTTAAGGATTTGTGATAGACAGTAAGAGAGAGGGGGGAGGGGGGAGTGAGAGGAAGGAAGGAAGGAGGACGGAGAAAGGAGAGGCCTGGAGGGATGGCACGGAGAGAGGGGAGGGGAGGGGGGAGAGAGAGAAAGGAAGGGAGGAGGACGGAGAAAGGGGGGCCTGGAGGGATGGCGCGGAGGCAGGGGGAGGGGAGGGGAGAGGGAGGGAGAGGGAGGGAGAGGGAGGGAGAGAGAGGGAGAGAGAGAGAGAGAGAGAGAGAGAAAGCATAGGTGAGAGAATTCTTGATAGCAAAATGTTAGTAATTTGGAACTAAATTGGCAGCACTCGATCAGACTTTGACTACAAACCTATAGCAATCTGTGTCCACATTTGGCTATGAATTTGACGACAAAATCTGCTGACAGGCAGCTACTACAGCGGCAGGCAGCTACTACACGGCAGCTACAACTATGCCAGCTTGGTGATAGAATTCGAGCAGAATATGCTCGAATCAGATTCTGTTCTCAATCTGCTCTCAATCTGCCGGATTATGCAGCTTTGCTTGATTTTTGCTACCATTCTGCTAGCATAGCATGTCTAATAACAGATTTTGTCATATTTTTAACAGCAATTTGCTGACAATGTCAAATAGGACAAACAATTTGTTGCTCTTCTACAATCAAAAATTGATAGCAGGCTCTGCTCAAAATCTGTCTCCGCAAGGTTTTGCTATCAGGATAATTGCGTTGGACTGAATTGTGTTGAAAAATGTCGGAATGTTTCGAGATGTATTAAAGTGAGAGAATGAGATGGATATGGAGGTAGGAAAGTATGTGGATGAATAAAATGTGGTAGGCCATAGCGATAAGTGTCAGCGTATATCGAAGTTTTTGTGAGAGGGGAAGTGTATTCGGATGAATAGCATGGATGGAGGTGAATATATGAGTGTGGAGAAGTGTGTGTAAGTGTATTCGAGTAATAATAATTGTCGATTTGACAGAGTATCAGACACGACGACGATGACATTTCTTAATAAAATTTTACATAAAAATTGAAATATATCTCTTAATATTTAAAAAAAAAAATAAACACTTTAATTAAAGGGATCCAAAGCTATTGATTGAGTCTAACAAAAATTTCGTTTACCTAGTCATTTATTAGATAATCCAGCAAACACCAAATTATATGTACCATATATATTAATTGTAATTTTCCACTTAATAATATACACACGAGTTATATTACAATTAACATAGACTATGTTTACATGAATCGATTTACATCGATAAACGATGTTAGAAAATTAGTCAATCACAGTCATTCCATTCTTCAGAGAATAGCTATAGTTGGCCAATTTCATAATATCGATGTTACAACTTCAACATAAATCGAGTCGTGTAAACGTATAATATACGTTACATGTAACTTGATATTTGCTGGGAATAATGTTTCCGATCAATTTGATCGAGTAAAAATATATTGTAGTGTCTTCTGCGCCCAGTAGCGCGTATATTTAGCGCGAGACACTATCGTCATCTTAGCTATAAGCAATAAATAAAGTGACCAATTCATAGAAGATAATAACATACTGTTTTACATTTTTTACTGTAATTGGCCGATTTGCTTACATCTTACTGCTTTATGTTTTTCTATGTGTTTCTGGCTTAATTACCTTTTATTATTTTTATTTTTTTAAATAAAATTGTATAACATGTAAATTAATCATCTAAATATGAGAAATCAATTATGGTCAAAATTAAACTCTACATATACAGAATGTCTCTTAAAATGGGTCCGAGCCACATTGGAGGTGAAGAATGAAGGGAACAAAAAATTCTCATACTATTTTAAGATATTCGCTATAGTTTTCGAATTTAGAAAAGGAAATGTCTAAGCCAACATGCGATTAAGTCGCGCCGCGCAGGGAGAAGGAAGTAGCGCTTCGTTGCCTAATACAACCTGGCATGGCGGTTCTATCATGTGTTTCGCTGCATCGCGCCTACACTATCCAAAAATGTTTTAACTGAAGTTTTCCTTATACATTTCTTATCATTATAAATCGCGTTATTTAGCACGATTAAATACATTTTAACACAATTATAGATATGTTAAGCGGTGTAATTAATTAGAGTATTTACGCAAAGCGTATGCTGATCGTCGCTTATTTTTGTCTGAAGAAATAACATACTGCTCATTAAAATCAGAAAGAAGTTGGGTCCCTTTCCTTGTAAATTACAGATTTTTTTAATGTACTGAACATGGGCATAAAATTTGATGAAACTATCCATTTGATGGATAGTTTAATGAAAATAAACTAAAACACTCAATTTTCAATTAGTGTTTTTCAATACATTTAAGTTTTCAGTTACTACAAACTTAAACATCTCATTAACGTATACATAAATAATCTTTTTGTGACAGAAGTGACAGAAAATTTAAATTTTATTCATCAGTGAACATTAAAGCTTAATAAAATTTAAGAATTTAATGATACGTTTTTAATGGTACAATTAACTTGTTAAACGGCAAGAAACATATGAAAAAAAATCTCAAATGCGTCAGTATACATGGAAAAATAATACATCTGGATTTACAATGTAGCGGCTATCTACGCGAGCTTATATTTTCAGTATACAGGCATTAACATGTCAAAAAATAAAACTCCGACTAAATATAGCATAAAACGACGCAACAAAGTGTGTCTCGAAGCGTAATTAAATAGAAACATCATATAATAAAGCAAACGGAAAGGTATCGCGATGATCAGCATACGCTTTGCGTAAAATTAATTGTGCTCTAATTAATTACATCGCTTAACATATCTATAATTGTGTTAAAATGTATTTAATCGTGCTAAATAACGCGATTTATAATGATAAGAAATGTATAAGGAAAACTTCAGCTAAAATAAGATTTTTGGATAGTGTAGGCGCGATGCGGTGAACCTCCATACCAGGCTGTGTTAGGTAACGAAGCGCTACTTCCCTCTCCCTGCGCGCTGCCGCCGCCGCTCGAGTGGGCCGTCCTATGAATTCGCGCGGCGCGGCTTAATCGCATATTGGCTTAGACATTTCCTTTTCTAATTCGAAAACTATAGCGAGTATCTCAAAATAGTATAAGAATTTTTTGTTTCCTTTGATCCATTTTCTACCCACAATGTGGCTCGGACCCATCTTAAGAGACACCCTGTATATGTACTTCAAATAAATTTTATCTCAGAAATATAATTATGCGATTAATTACTTTCAGATTTTCAACACAATCAATCTCAAATAATCTTCTCAAATTTATTAATTATATCGTTAATTTGATGCTACTAATATTTTAAAAACTGTAAAGAACTATTGTGAAATTGCGAAAAATACTACTTCGGTAAAAATTTGAACCCGGAATTTCATATTTCATACGGTTGTCTTACCGTTGAATACCGAGACCTTAGCAATATTCTTCGCAATAATTGTAAATCAAATGTAAATCAATCTTTTTCTTTGTTCTAATATTGGATTGTCCGGAAAGTTCGTGCCGATGTTGAAGGAAAATTGAAACGCAGAAAATTTAAATTTTAGTATACATTTATTAAATTATATAAGTTAGTCGGCACGAACTTTTCGGACAATCCAATAGTATTAAAATTACTTATGTTGTTCTGCAATGATAACAGAAAAATAATTGAAAAGTTATTTTTTGTATAAGTATAACCAATTTGTTGTTTTTTAGCCAATAATTTGTAACGGTAATTAGTTATTCTTGAAATAAAAAACTATAACTAGTTATTTTTAGCAAAATAACTTTCTCAACTCTGATACAACTTCCTCTCTGCCCGTATCGCTTAATGAAGTTATTGCATTTAATTGTTAAATCCGAAAATATCTGGTCGTATTATATATAACAGATACATAACAGATGAACATATGATTTAATTGTTATAATTATTTAATAATACTATACTTGTGACCATTACGTTGACTTGGAGAAACAGCTCTATTTTCTCCTTCTCTAGTCTTCAATATAAATGTTGGTCGTTCTACAATCTTAATCAGATTCTTGTTTTCTCCATCTTTAATCTCCGAATCCTTTGACATCGTTGGTAACATCTTTTTCACACTTGTAATATATTGTTGCTGTAATAAAGTGTATACGTATATACATGCATACATATATATACGCACGTACGCACGCACGCACGCACGCGTTTTTTATTATAAAAAAGGAAAGAACGTTCTATAAATAAGCTGCAGAAAAATTTATCGAGTTTATAGAGCGTTCTATGCTCTAACTCATAGGTTTCCAATGTGGATGTTATCAGCCACGTTGGATGCTAAGGAGATCTAGAGTAATGTTACTAGAACAATAGAAGGACGTTGAAGACAAAAAATACGCCAAAGAAATTTAATCTTCTAAATATTTTCTAAACAAATACTTAAACATTCACTTGATTATACAAATTATAATTATATTACAATTAATATATAAATATTACAATTATACATTTTTATAAGAATCAAATATGTCAATCAATCCTCTATACACATTGAATTAAGTTGTATGACATATAAGATTTGTTTTTTATGTTTCTTTGCAATTTTTTTCGGCTAATCGTTTTCTGTACGAAATAATCGAAGTAAATGCATCTATGTATTGTATGTTTTGTCAAGTTCATTAATAGAATGCGGACATTCGTGCATGAGTTCGTCTCGTGCTGAGTACCGCTGTATGAGTAATATTTTTTATTTGTTTCTGTAATTTTCTTTTTGTTGCTTTATTTAAAGATATTGTTTGCCGGTTACCCGATTTACTAGTTTATCCGCGAAAGGGATAAACTGAATAAAAAAAAATTTAGAAAGGGGGCGATGAGTCAAAAAGAGTTGGAAAATTATGCTCTAACTAGATAAACAACAATGAATTGGTTTCGTTGATAGAAATTTCAATGTCAAAAATGCATATCGTTTTGGTCGGTCTATTGTGGAAAATGTTGATGAAATCTTTCGAAAAATTAAAGAAAATCGTTATGTGAGCAGCTATGACATAGCTAAAGAGTCAAACATTGATCATAAAATCGTTTTGAGGTTTTACTTGCGTAAGACTGGATATAGAAACTCGATGCTTGGATGTCACACGATATTAAAAAATTTTAATAGATCGAATTTCCATAGATCGAATCGCTGTTGAAACAAAACGAAATTGTCTTTTCTGAAAAAATTGATAACGGACGATGAAAAGTAGACAACATATGATAATGATATTCGAAAAAGTGATTGGAGATGAGGTACTACAAACAATCGTAAAACCCAGATTGAGATGATGCTGTGTGTCTAGTGAGACTGGAAAATATAATAGTCGTCCATTATGAATTGCTGCCGCCAACCAAAATGATTGATTCTGATCTCTACTGTCAACAACTAATGCGAATAGAGCAATCCATTCAAGAAAAGCGGTCAGAATTGATCAATAGAAAAGGCGTTGTTTCTATTATGACAATAAGCCACACATACATCTTTGATGACTCGACAAAAATTGAGAGATTGGCTGAGAAGTTTTCGCATCCACCATATAATCCTGACCTTGCACTGATTATCATTTGTTTCGATCTTTGCAGAATTTCTTTAATGGAGTAAACTTGATTTCAAAAGAGGCCTACGAAAATTATTTCGGTTTTTTACTAAGAGATCAGAAGTTCTATATCGATAGAATAATGACTCCGAAAAATGACAAAAAGTCATCGATCAAAACGGCACATATTTGGTTTAAAAGGTTTGTAAACAATTTAAAAAATATGTTTCAATTACGTTCCAACTTGTAAAAAGACACTTTCCCTAACCCAATATATTATACATATATAAATAGATATATAAATAAAAATGGGTCACCATTATATACAGGATGTTTGGAAAATAATAATAAATTTTTCGCATAGGAGCAGAATGGAGAAAAGTTCTCTATCATTTTGCAATTTTCATAATAATTAACAAGATATTAATTGCTAAAAATTGCCAAAAATTGGTCTTCAATATAATTTTTTATTCAAATATTGTACTATCAACTTTATAGAAAAACTACGAAAGACAAAGACAAAAATTGTTTATTTTCTTGTCATAAAACTCTACGAATTTTTTCAGAATTTTTTATTAACTTTTTAGTACAGCATTTTCTCATTTTTATTAACATTTTTATTAACATGAGAAAATACATATTAAAAAATTCTGAAAAAATTCTAAAAAAATTTTCGGCAATTTTTAGCAATTAATATCTTAT